TCTTCAATATCGCCATCAATAATTTAGACGACAGGATAGAATGGAACTCATCAGATTCACAGACAACACCAAGCTGATAGGAATAGCCAACACTCTGAAAGACAGGCTCAAGGGAGTGTGTTGCTCAGTAGGGCAGGTACCACAAGAGAAGAAAAATCAAATGCACAAGTATAGAATAGGTGGCACCTGGCTCAATAGTAGTAACTGCAAGAGGGATCTTGGAGTCCTAGTGGACCATCACTTAAATAGGAACCAGCAGTGTGCAGCAGCTGCCAAAATTCCAATGCAATCCTAGGCTGCATTAATAAGAGGGGTAGAATCAAGGTCACTTTATACTTCACTGGTAAGACCGCACTTGGAATATTGCACCCAGTTTTGGCCACCATGATATAAAAAAAATATTGAGATTCTAGAAAGAGTGCAGAGAAGAGCAACAAAGTTGATTAGGGGGCTGGAAGCTAAAACATACGAAGAACAGTTGCAGGAATTGGGTATGTCTAGTTTAATTAAAAGAAGGACTATGAGTGACATGATAGCAGTGTTCCACTATCTAAGGGGCTTCCACAAAGAAGAGGAAGTCAACTTATTCTCCAAAGCACCTGAAGGCAGAACAAGAAGCAATAGATCAGTGTTTCTCAACCTTGACAATTTTAAGGCATGTGGACTTCAACTCCCAGAATTCCACAGCCAGCAACGCTGGCTGTGGAATTCTGGGAGTTGAAGTCCACATGCCTTAAAATTGTCAAGGTTGAGAAACACTGCAATAGATGGAAACTAATCAAGGAGAGAACCAGCCTAGAATTAAGGAGAAATTTCCTGACGATTAGAACAATTAATCAGTGGAATGACTTGCCTCCAGAAGTTGTGGGTGCTTCAACACTGGAGGTTTTTAAAAAGAGATTGGACAGCCATTTGTCTGAAATGCTATAGGGTTTCCTGCTTGAGCTTTGGCTGGAAAATCTCCAAGGTCCTTTCAATTCTGTTATTCTGTTAGGCCTGATTCTTCCCTTAGACACTGAGCCAGATTGTTGGGTGAGAATAATAATTTTATTGCCACTTTCAATGTACACTAATCAGCATACATTAAAAGAAATTTCATTGTATTCGGCTCTCAAAGAATCCTATTATGTATATACCCATGTATACACACATATGACACAGAAACACCACAGTCTAGTTCAAATGTATACATATGGCAAAAAAATAAAGAATCCTGCGAATTTACAAGATGGATGGCATAAGGAACAAAGCTACTAGAAACCTCCTCCAGAGGGGAGCAACAGAAACAGATCGTAAAGTGGGTGTGTGGGGTCCCTTAACAAAGCTTTGAGCTCTTAAGCGCATAGCATTTATAAGCAGCATCCTGAATACTGGGAAGCAAGCTTCCTATAATCTTCTCAACTGTCCTTACCACTCTCTGTATGGACCTTCTATCTGAGGCACTGCTGCCACCAAACCAGACAGTGATGCAGTTTGTTAAAACCTCTCAACCGTGCCTCTGTAAAAAGTGGCCAGGACAGAAGGAGAGAGATGTGCTCTCCTCATCTGACGCAGGAAATGTAAACGCTGGTTTGCACGCTTCACTAAAGATGACGTATGAGCCTGATTTGATTATGTGATTCTATCTTTTGAGTGATCCTGATCACAATTTGTTGTTGTTGTTCATTACTTCTGAGAGTTTTTAATTGATTATTAGTACATCCTTCTAAGTTACATTTCAAGTGGAATAAATCAAGTCTCACTGTATTTCTGGGATGGCAGGCTCAGTTTCCAAGTCAAATTCTGCAGTGGTGGTAAAAAAATTTTTAATATTTAATATAAACTGACAGCAAACAGCACTCCTTACTAGCACTGATGATGTTACCTAGTTAGGTAATGAAATGTCTGCAACAAAGCAAGCAATCTCGGAGAGCACCCTCATGTTTTTAATATTTTCACCCTTTACGACTCCCAACTTTTCTAAGATGTGTAGCAAATTGCCACTAGTTTTGGATCTGCTGAATTGGCATAGAAGATTTGGCATGTCTTTCCCTTCAAACCTTTAACTATTTTCAGACCTAAATAATCTTAAAATCACATAATTTAGGGATTCATGGATTTGGATCTCCCAAATATATTTTAGTCACCATGGAACTTAAACTTAGTTAGGGCCAGTATTAGATTAGTAATACGGGTAGATGATTAAAGTAACCAAAGAGAGACAAAGAACCAAACTGCAAGCCTTTTGCAGTTTTTCCTTTTCTTGAGCTGTTGATTGTTCTGGATATTGGAGCCATTTATAATTTAATGTCTGTACACATTTTGATTACAGAGGATATCCCATTTCCCAGGTAACGTTTGCTGCTGTAATAATGTGTATCAACCAGAGAATATTCCTTCTCTCAGTTAATACCTGCCTTTTTAAAAAAAAAAAAAAAGTGAATAGCAGTATAACCTCCTTCAGTACCAGTATCTACTTTGTGGACAAATCAATGCTATCTACTTAGAATAGTGTGGGATGGGAAGATGACTTCTCTGAAGCTACAGGTGTATCTTTGCTCATCGATGATAGTAGCTGCTTTGATTGTTTGGTTCTCAGTGCTAATAGTTTGCTAACTTGGCATTTCCTCATTCTTTTTCACAAAATTTAAAATAACAACATACATTACATATGTACATCACATATGCAACAATACACATACATTATATATGTGTATAGATTATATATGTACACAATATATTAATGGTGTGCTGTATTTTAAATTTTGTTACTTGAACTTGGACCCTAAATAAATAGTTTTAAGGTCTTTTATGCCTTGAATCTGAGTTTTATGTGAGTCAGGATGCCTTAATGTCATTTATATTTTCCCCATATCCCTTCATGCCTTGGGAAGCATCTCTACATCGCTTCAATGTCCAGCAAGCCTTAGCTTGCTGAAATCAACATATTCCACCTTTCTTAAAAATCTGTAGACTGGGGCTCTCATGCTGCTTAAAGAAATATTTCTCCTCTCTGCCCAAAGTAGAGCACTGAGTTGTGAGCACCATGCTCTTCCTTGTCTATAAAAGTGAAATTCCCTGTTTCCTGAGGGTTCACTGACATCCCACTCTTGTCAGAGTATTACCAAGAGCCTTTCTGATGGGCACTTTTCTTTGAGAGATCTGCACATTAGTGACATCATGACTGGCCATTTTTCTATGATGTTTGAGAAAGAACAGGTGCCTCATTCAGCCAGGTGGATTTCTGTTTTAACCTGACAATATGCCTCGCCTCTAGTATAGCTTACAATTTGCTATTCTACTTGTTGTGTAAAGCACATAAAACTCTTAAGAAGAAGAATAGGTTGCTTAAACCTGTATTCCATCCACCTGAAATCTTGGCTCCTTGTTCTTATGGATGCCTTACCTGCATTGTGGAGTTGTGGGAGGAACCTCATTGCATATGTATATTAGCAAGGAGAAGGACTTTTTTCCATGTCTGAAAGCTCCAGAAAGAACATTTTGCATAGGCAGAGAAACCTATTTGCGTGAATGTTTACCTAACTAAGCTAAATATATTCATAGATAAAGTTTGTTCTTAAAATGGAGTTTTTTCTCTCTTAATTTTTGTACATAAGTTTTGAGAAGGAAGGAAAAAAGCATACATATGATAACACTTACAGCAAATTTTTGTATGGGTGTGTTTTTAGAACAGGCCTATTATTCAATTTGATTTTAAAACAGAAATTATTTATTTATTCGTGGTTTTTAGTATCGCCTGTTCACCGCCCTGAGTCCCGCAAGGGAGATAGGGCGGTATATAAATTTAATAAATTAAATAAATAAATAAATAAATAAATTATCCTCTCACAGTCTACTCAAAGTTATGCTAAATTCTGAGCTATGATGTCCAGCAATAAGGCTTCTTCAGTCATTGGAAGGAAACTGTATATTTCCTAGATCAGAGGATGGTATAGTGGGCATAAAGGCCTGAATGCCTTTGACAGCATGGAAACTTAAATTGGATCACTTAAACACCTTTTGTTTGTTACCAGGTTTGATAAAGTTATTGTAGTTGCCAGCTTAGCATAGTTGCCCAAATTATGTAGTTGCCCAGATTAGCACTAAGAATTAGGATATTATATAATAGCACAAATTTAGTTTTGTCTTGTTATTTTTATGCGTGTCATTAACTTCATCAGTCACATATAGTACAAGGATATATGTTGATAGAGTGTTCCAAATGGCATCCTTTGCAATCTTGGAAATCTCATAATCTGAATTCAATACCTGTAATTCTGCCTAGAAATTGGAGTATTGGTAAATATTTTTAAGAATTTACCCCTTTCTCATTATTTTCTCACAGCTGTCCTGTGAATTGAATTGCCTTCTTTTTTTAAGAACAGATTTCCAAACTTGATGCTGATTTTCAACAGTTTCACTAAACCAAGTTGATTTGAACAGAAATACATGATACTTTATTCATGAGAAATACATTCCACTGTAAAAGAGGACTAACATATACTGTGGGTAGCAAGATTTAAGTGAAACAAATATCAAACGTCTTAACTAAATATAGTAAATTCTTCTCAAGACTATGTAAATGACAACTTTTTATTTTTGAGGTCATACAAGAAATACCAATGTTTCTATTCCATCCATTAGTAGTTCTTGAATATGTTGAAATAGAGTTTAAGGACAATTTTCATGTGGATTACTGGTTCTTTTAAAGAATAATAGATCATGCAATAGATTATAGGTTTTGATGAGGTTCAGGAACTAAGGGTAGGAAAAGAGTACTAAGAAGTTATCAAGAAAGTTATCAAGAAAACTTGGGCAAGAGCAGAAAGCAAAAACAATTAAATATGGGAGGCTATTATGACCACTATCGCAAGCTTCCAGTGATAGGGAACACTGCAGTCGAAATATGGCACTTCCTGTTTTAATGCACTGGATGTCACAAAATTGAACTCTGTCCTGGGCTGGTTCTTCTCATTCTTGCTTATCATGTGTCCCTCTTCTGTTCTCTTCTGTCTCTACAGAAAGTGATGCTTCCTACAGGTGCTGCATTCCGATGGTTTCAATAGGAACAAGAATCCCAAAGCTCTATCCTCCAGTGCAATGTCACTGCTTGCTTGTGTTGTCTCAGGCAAGGAATTTTTTGACGGAAATAAATGGATGCGCCTATGTCTCCTTTAGAACCAAAAATATTTTCTTGCAGATTTCATTCCTTTTTTTTAAAATATAATTTTTCGGCATTTGTTTAACATCTTTTAAGTACTAGTAAAACAAGCATTAATGTTTTCAAATAATTTTTTAAAAGAATCCATAAAGTATCAAGATGTAATAGAGTATGGACAATCAATCAATTTGTTTTCCTGTGTTTTGGTGTTGATGTTGTTTATGTGTGGAAGATGCAGTTCTTGTGTAGAGAATGTAAATTTACAGTAACCTTTTAAATCTAGTTACTAATACGCACTACTGTAATTAGCACAGCAATTTCTTCATTTATCTGATTGATTTCCATCATTAAAGAAAAATAGTGTGGCTAGTTTCTAGAATGCCTCAATTCATGTTTATAAATGAAAATATATTTAAAATAAGGTAGTTTCTTTTCCCTAATTCTACAGATAAGACAAGATTTAATCAACAAGATGTCTTGTCTGGTCTTATAAAGTGGAAATATATTGAAAACTGGCATTTTTTTAAAAGAAAAGCAAAAATAATAAAATTTAGAACCAAATAAAATTGCATAGTAGAGTAAACCCAGAACTAATTGCAATGATTCACTTTTAGAAACCATTAGGAAATATTGCTGGAATTCCAATGTAAGCTGTTGCAGAACCTGTGCTGAAAAAATATAGAAGTCCTTTTTTATGTTGAAAACCCCTCATCTCCTGCTTTCTTACCATCTCTAATTGAAAGGCTGTTTGTAATGTTCTAGCAATTCAAGCTAAGCTGTTTTGTGAATAAAAATGAAAGCATGTTTTGTGTCATGGTTTACATCTTCATTATTCTGTCCATCTTGGGTGCATGCCAGGATGTTTGATTGCTTGGGTGGGGGTACCAAGTCTAAAATGACCTGTTATATGTTGTTTTTTCCTATAATGTTTTCCAATGTTTGCCTTTCTTGGCCTCAACAAATTTAAACTATGCGGGTTTGATAATACTTCAGCATTTTGGTTCTAATTTTTAATATAAGGTATTATACATGTTTAATAGTATGAATGACATAATTTTATGTTTTCTTCTGTCTACATATGTAACTGATTATCTGATCTGATCATGTTCCACAAATATATGATGTACTGAATCTGGGTTTGGTATAGCCTTCTTAACAGTTTGGTCAGACAAACAATTAAACATTTAATAAATATAATTATGTTTTAATAAGGCTACTCGATTTTAGAATTAGAATTCTACATAGCACTTACGTTAGCAAATTTATAGGAATAGAAGATGTCTTGGCCCTTAAATCTCATGATCTGCATGTGGCTTCTGAGAGAACTAGGTATTTGCTTGAATTAGGCTGCCAGCTGCAGTGTTCACAATCAATCAAAGGCAGCCAATATATAGAATGGTCCAACTTGCTCTAAAAACTGCTGTCAGTGAGTTCCCCTGGCTGACTTGGATATTTGGGGAAATCTTTCTCTTTTGTCTTTCTTTGCAACTCCTTTAATAAAGTGATCCCTCTTTTTAATTTAGAAAGCACAAGTCACTGGTCACTCAAAGTTGCTAGTCACTCAATGGATCAGCACATGAGGTTGCATTTTTACTTTTTTTAATTTTGTAGAAGCAATCAAGTATTAATAAACTTTACATTTCATGAGGCAATGTCAATATGCAACAAAAATTGTACTTAAGTTTGTTTTGTCAATAAAAAATTATTAGGTGGATGTTTAGAGATGAAACACAGTGCTTTTGAAAAAGTGTCAAGAGGAGATTATCAGTAAAGGAATCTTCTATCTCAAGTTCATACAATTTGGGTGAACGTTTTGCTGGAATTATAAAATGAAACTAGAGGACAGCTAGTATTGAATTCCAAGATAACCAAGAATGTTTCGCATGTTTGGTGGGCTACAATATCCTTCCTAATTTTCTCTTCCTTCACAGTCTAAGAGTAACAAGTAATTTTATTGCTGGCAGATGGGGAGAGAAATCCTCATTATTGTGCAAGTTCAGTGCTTTTTTTCTAAAAAAAAAAAAAAAAAAGGTGCCGGAACTCACACACGTCATACAACCCGCCTTGCCTACCCTACAAGGTTCCATCCAAAAAAGGTGCTGGAACTCCGTTCTGGGCGTTCTATGAGAAAAAAAGCCCTGTGCAAGTTTAACCAAGTTTTGCCGCAAAGTCCAGCTCCCTAAAACCACTTTGGTGAAAAAACAAGTTGCCACTTTCTTGTATAACTACCATGAATCACAAATGTACATATAGGTATGAAGATGCTGACAATGCAAAGTAAAATTTTGTGGGGTATCTGGTAGGCTTTTGTGACCCTACAATTCAGCGTTCCTCCACATTTTTAATTCTGTCTGGATTGTAGAAGGACATGAATAAAAGCTATAGTATCCCAGCTACTGGGATGAATACTGGACAAACTAAGGTATGAAATGGTCCAGCAGCATAAAATTAGATAACTCTATGAATTCTAATGTGAATGTTTAACTGTGCTCCAAAATATTTGAACATTAAAGAAACATCTAACTGGTACAAACAGGTTATAAATAAACTTATAATGAGACACAATGATATATTGTTTTACAATTAATGCTGGTCAACAGACTCCTTGAACTGATAGATAAGCTACTCTGACCAAATAATCCTTGAGTATAAACTGTTGCAAAATGCTTTGTAAATCAGTACTTAATGAGTTCTGATACTTTTCTGGTCTGACTTTTAAGTGATTCTGGGCTTCTTGATACCTTTTCAGAAAGATCATTTAAGTTTATTCTGCTTCTAATCAGGGTGCATTTATTTTCTAGTTTTAGAGGGATATAGTAGTAGCTCAGATACTTTAGCTTTTCTTCATACTCTCCTACAATCCAAGAGGGAGGGGAGAAGAGAAGAGAAGAGAAGAGAAGAGAAAAGTCTTTATTTGTCTCCGATACATAAGCTCTCAGTGTACATGCAAGCAACTAGTGATAAATCACAATCATAATCACAAAATAATCATAAATCATAATTTTATAGGGTGCCTTTCCTCTTTAGTATCCACTCAATGTGCCAAACCCCCCTTTTGATAAATATATATAGCATCTGTCAGCAGAGATTCCCAATTTCAATTTTGAAAGACTCTGATTCTTTGAAACATTGGTGAGACCTGTCCTCTTTCCTCTCTACTACAAGCCTTCTCCTTCCATCCATCCATAGGTAAAAGTCTGAGAGAAAAAGATACACAATTTTCCTAAAAGTGTGAGATGGATTTTTGCCTACAGGAAAATAGAAAATTTAACAAATTTACATGGGGTCTATCCAGTTGGCTCTGATTTTAGGATTACTTTGCAGAACTGCAATGTTCATTCCTTTTCAGTTCATCTTATGAATAGTATCCAATCCCTACTTTAGTTAATAGTGCTTCCTTAAATTTGAGCTTGTGCAGGTCCATTTCCAAGCACACTTCTTCCTTCTGATAAGCTGAGCCAAGATGACATTGGAGATTAATGTAGGTTAGCTAGTTAGGATGTATCTGATACAGAACAGAAAAAAGATCTATTCTCCAGATCTAGGTGACAAAATTTTATTCTGGTGAGGATCAGTGTTAGAAAAAAATCACTGGAACAGCTTTAAATATGGTCACTGCTTTGAAATCTTATTAAACGGAATTATATATTTGCTTAAAATGCTGAGGTTTGTTCACCGGCTAAAAGGATTTTTTCTCTCTATGTAAATAATCTGAGAACTACGCATGATGTACATGTTGATCTCAGGCTGTTGTTGATTTCAGGCTGTTGATCTCAGGCTGTTCACGGAAGTATATCCAAAAGTGGAAAATTGAAACAAGAAAGTACCATTTGAGCTTACTTCCTATTTTTCTGCATGGCTATGGATGGCATTACTAGACATCTCAAAATAAAATGAAGGATACTGTCAAGAGTTCTCTTCATGATAGCACACAATCAACTACTTGCAAGTGTATGTTATTTTCCCCATGCAATAATAACTTTGCACAAAAGCCATGAAGTCAAAAAGCCATTCTTGAAGTGCCCAGCATCTGATACGCAGAGGTATGCAGCCTTAGTCATTTAATCGTTTTCAGTTTTGAACGCTTTCATGTGAGGTTATGTTGCCGTTACTATATAAACTTCCCTAAATGTGAACAAATTAAACATAATGTGTCTTTCCAGGTGAGTAGTCAAACACTGGAAATGTTTTTAAATAAAACTTTAAACCATCTGATGTGCCTCTGAAGTTCAACATACAATACTTAAAAGTTGTGGTAAACATAGGAGAATAAGAGTAACACTCTAATGGCAGACTCTTGGATCCCCATGTCTGATGCCTGTTAAATTTTGCCTCATCATTTTATTACTAAATATTTTAGTAAAAAGGAAAGGGGAAGCAATGCAGAATACCAGCCTCATGCAGGTTTTATTTCCAAGAATGCTCAGGTCTGGAACAGTTCAGTAATATTTTGGAATTGCCTGTTTCTCGGGAAATAAAAAAGGTAAGCTGGGATGGGAAAGCATGTCCTATGTAAGTAATGGGGTTAATAGCACCAATTTGTCTTCTGGTAAATGGGTGCCTTATGAGTGTCCAGGCTTTTGATGGTAATCATTTTGTGCAAGTTCTTGTGACAGGTAAACATTCTAAATGTAATCACTGATTCAACAAATTATGGGAACCCTTCATTTATTGAATGAGGAGGGGACATGAAATCACAATATGTCAAGATATGATTGGGGTAAAACTAGTCTACAATCTACTTTTAGACTGATGTTATTACAGGTGTTTGTGTTATGAAAAGTTTGTGTTATGCTTTTGTTGAATTCTTACTAAAAGTCTATTCCTATTTAATGGGATAAATTAACCTATTAGGAAACAATAAGCTGCCCTTTACCAAATTAGACAGTCAGACCATTTAATGCAGGATTAATTGCTCAGAAGTTTTCTAAGCTATCATACAATGTTTTCCATCACTGCCTAACAAAATCTTATAACTGAAGATGCCTGGCCTGAAATCCAGACTACTGAAATGAAAATTGGGTATTCTGCTGCTAAAGTAAATCCCTTTTTAATTTTTGAAATATTGAGGCATTTGAGATCTAATAGTTCTAATAAGCTAAGCGTCTGGCCACAGTTTCCTTATACTTGGAATAAGCAGCAACATAACTAAGGAAATGGGTGGTTTTGTTTTAATTTCCACTTTTTGGTAATTAATTCAGGATAACATTAGTATTCCAAATTACAGGAAGAACCAGACAGTGATCAAATAAAAGGACATTTGTAACAAGATTTCCTAGATTTATTGGTTTAGTGCATTTGTGTAGCGTTCCTTTTTGTCCAGCAGGACCCTTATCTAAAACAATAAGCCTTCAATGAATATTACAGTGTGTTGGATCTAACAAAGAAAATATAGCTTGTGATAGTGATTGCTTGATGTAAGAAACAAGTTTGTTTTCATCTTTTGCCCTTTTCCCTTTCAGCAGTAAGAATACCAGGTGATAAGTCTGCACTGATGGTGTAGTAGGATTCAGATTTTGCATGGAAAATACATCCTTAATATTAACAGATGAAGACTTTCTAATGTGTAGAGTATAAAGTTTGGGAGAACCCAGCTTTATTTTTTTATCCGCATAGAATATTTAAGATGTAGGAATTTATATATGGAGATAGAAAGGAATCAAAATGCAGAAAGGGGAGTAACAATTGCTTATATAATTAATAAAATAGCTGGGGGTGCAACTACCAAGATCTATAAGCAATTGCAGGATGCAAGATTGTCAAGAGAGAAGCTTTGAGTCATCCTATGTCTCTACAAAGTTGCCTTGCTCTCAAAAATGTTTGTTTAAATGTTATACACGTTTTGTAAAAAACTGGTTCTTCATCTTCCAATGGTTGGAAAAATATATTACTCAGTGGATTCAAACTACACCTTCTTTGTTCAATATCCAACAAATTTATGTTTATCTCTGTAATAAGATGCAATGTAAGACATATCGTATCATCTGTATGTAATATATATTCATTGTTTTCAATTTATTCATATGACTGTGAAGATGCCCAGAACTTCATCCCTTACCATTCATGGATTGAGTTTCTATTTTACAAAGATCTTGGAAATGTAGGACTTTTGGTTTATTCCAAGAATTTCCCCTCCCAAATTTATCAAAAGACCAATGCCATGTAAAATTGCTTTAATGTCTCCAATACTATCTGTATAATTTCAGAGGTGGAAAGACATACGCAGTTAAGAATCCAAAGACTGCTTCTTTAAATCATCTTTACACCTTGTGATGCTTGCCTTGATGGCTTAGTTTAGTGCTGCTCCAGAAAATTGCAAGTAATATATGGAATACTACAGACCGTTACTACAGTAATATATGGAGTACTACAGACCGTTGGTGGTACTTCAGCACCTGGAAATTAGTAGACAAGTGTCTACTGGGGGGATGAGCTGAAGTAGCTGGGGGGATGAGCTGAAGTGGCGGCAGCACCGCACAGGCCTGGGAAAGAGTCAGCTGGAGCTGCGGTGTTGCTGGGGCTCTGTTAAAAGCCCAGGATTGGTGCAACGTGGCTCCAGCTGATTGGCGCTTCCAGCGCACCCAGAAGAAAAGAGGGGAGAGAGGAGAGGATATAAAAGGAGGAGGTTTTGGCGGGAGAGGGAGAGGAAAAAAAAGACTGGGAAAGAAGGGGATGGAAAAAGAGGGAGGAGAGGAGAGGCTTCTGTGAGACAAGCAGTGAGGAGAAAGGAGGGAGAAGAGGCTGTGGAAGGAGAGCCCAGCAGGCAGGGAGGAGAAAGAAGAGAGGAAGAAGGGCCGACCACCCAGCTGACCACCAAGGTAGTGGTGCATATTAATAAATATGGATAAATTTGTCATATGTTCATCAGTGCAAAGAAAAAGTGATTGAGCAAAGCAACCACCACTGAAGAAATTAAAAACGGTACTTTTTTCC